TTTGCAATAGATGGAGCCGGGTCGCAACTTGGACCGCCCACTTTGTGCTGTTAAAAAAAGGGATTCTGCACGCATGCGCAGGAAATGCTATTTTTTGCAATAGATGGAGCGTGCTTGCATAGTGTCCGCTTTAAGAGGATTCAGGGCTTAGTAATTTTAGGATTAGAGACTTAGTGTTCGGTTTAGGGATTAGGGTTAGGGTTTAGGGTTAGGGTTTAGGGTGGGGGTTAGGGTTTAGGGTTAGGGTCTAACAGGGCAAGGCCAGGAATACCTACCTGGATAGGCACTCACCTGCGGTGGCTATCAATCCCCCCCGCATCTCCACCCCCACCCCACATAAAGATCATCTCTCCTCTCATGTTATACCGTGGCTGTAGCATAGCATAGCATAGCAGAGCAAACGCTTAGCGGGAGGCTTCGCGCCACGCGGGAGAGTGAACCCCTACGGCAGGGTGAGGGTGTGCACCACGCGGGAGAGTGAATCCCGACGGCAGGATGAGGGTTCGCACCACGCGGGAGAGTGAATCCCTACGGCAGGGTGAGGATTTGCACCGCGCGGGGCAGCAGTTCCCTATGAGAAACTAAAGGATTTTCGCTGCGAGGCGCGCGCGGCTGCCGCGCGCATGTGCACTTTGTTTTTTTTGTTTTTGCAATGGATTATTGACATGGACACATCTTGCAAGAGCAAAATGTTGAGATTATATAGTTTGTTACAATGGAAAGTGCACATCATAAACGAAGAATGATCAGGATATCGTATTTTTTCCAATGGATTATTGACATGGACACATCTAGCAAGAGCAATATGTTGAGTTTATATTGTTTTTTTTACAATGGAAAGTACACATCAGAAACGAGGAATGATCAGGATATAGTATTTTTTTGCAAAGGATGGATAATGATCGGTTTACATGCGGGTTCGCGACCGGGACCGGCCACTTTGTATTGTAAATAAATAGGGTTTTTTGATCGCATGATCAGGAAATAGTATTTTTGCATAGGAGGGAGGGGGCCTTACATAGCGGCCGGTTTTGAAGGGTTTAGGGTTTAATAATTATAAGGATTAGAGATTTAGGGTTAGGGTTTAGGGTTAGGGTTCTGGGTTAAGTTTAGGGTCAGGGTTTAGGGTTTAGGGTTCGGGTTCGGATTTTGGTTTTAGGGTTAGGGTCTACTAGGCGTGGCCACAAGTACACCTTGACCGCGAACCCACGTGCGGTGGCCGTCACTCCCACCCGCAAGCCACCCCACCATAAAGATCATCTCTCCCCTCGTTATAACCACATTGACTACAGCGTCAACGACGACGGCGACGGCGACGGCGACGACTGATGTGCGATCCAGTTGGCACGCGAGTGCTCCAACGGGCGGGAAGGGTGGGGTCGGGCGGGAGAGGTTCTGCACGCACGCGCAGCGACTGCTATCTTGTGGAATAGATGGATCGGGTCGCAACGGGGACTGGGCACTTTGTAGTGACAAATATAGGAAATTCTGCACGCATGCTCAGCAAATGTTTTTTTTGCAG